ATGGTACCCTGGATGTTTTCCACTCACATCGCTGACCTTCCAATTTTCTATTCCAGCTGCCTCCGAGGCCACAAGAAACCAGACTTTTCTCCTGAGCATAATCATCCTCTCCAAGTCAGTTTGCAGCATGAGAAAAGGAGGGCAAAGAAATAAGGAGTCTGTTCCCCCACCCCCACCCCGTCTTCACATAATGAATGTTTGTGTCAGGCCCTACCATTAAGACTTATTTTCAAAATGTGAATCCCTTGGTCTATTGAGATACTGAATAATTCCTCCATCACCTGCTGGGATGTATGATGAGATGGCAAGGAACTGTTCTCTTACTGCCTTGTCAGGGGACATTTTATTCTGTGATCAGCAAGAGAACCCTTACAACGTAGGCATATCAGAATTATAACTTTGCGAGTAATGGATAGCAGCTCTATTTGCAGAAGGAGAAAACACACACACCCTAGAAATTTTTCAGACAGGATGAGGACACAACCACAGGAAGCAAAGCACCGGTCCACATAGCAGAATTTGGCACCATCTGGTTCCTACTTAAAAGGTTCTTATTTTTAGTGCAATCTATTTTATCTCTCACTAGAGCACTCTTTCCATTCAACCTGGAGATGTTCATTCTCCTGTGAGACGGGTTCCACACAGGTCTTTTCATCGTTGTTTTACTTCTGTGTAAGTTTACCTAGGTTACTTGCAATACTGAAGGAAAGAAAAAAAAACACAGCATATATTCCATTCATATCACCAACAGCTATTAAGTGAGTAGAATTTCCATCTTGGCACAGAGAAGGACCTGACCCAGATAAAGTAAATAGAGCTAACAGTAATATGAGGTCAACTGAGGTGACCAGGCTGCAGATTTGGGTTGCTACACAAGGACAGTGAATTGCTAATTAACTAGTGACCATTGTACTTTAACTTCCATGAAAGCATTGGTGAGATTTGGCTGGCTTTGTATCTTGCGCACCTTGACTCGGTGGGTGGGTGGTGAACCCAATTTGCTTCTATACCACAGACAGGAAACTGGCCTTGGGCCAGTCCTCTAAACCACTGGTTCTTAACCTTGGGTTACTGAGGAGTTTTGGACTGCAACTCCCAGAAGCCTTCAACTGTGCTGGCTGGGGTTTCTGGGAGTTGCAGTTCAAAAACATCCGAGTAACAAAGATTAAGAACTACTGCTCTAAACAAAGACAGGATTGCAAAGATACCCACTACATGTGAACTCCTTAAGGAGGTTCTCATTCAGTGTCTGAAGCATGTTGGGGGGGGGGGAACACAATGATAGATGAGACTTTTTTTAAAAAAAAAATCAGACCAGAGGACATGAGGAGTGGACTTCCAGAGGCAGCTTTTCCTCCAGTGGATCTCACCACCAGCACTACCACCAGCACCATTTTATGATTGCTCTGTTAAAATGCATTAAATTACAATACCATGGTCAAGGATCAATGTTGTTGCTTAAAATACACTAAGGAAAGATTTTGCAAAATTTAGGCACATCTGTTCAATCCCCCCCTATATTTTTCATTTATTTCATTAATAGTCTAATTTCTTTGAATTTTTGAATTTTTGTGGAAATTGTTTCCAAAGGGCTCGCAACATCAAGAAAACAATGAAAAGTCAACAATCTTCACTGAGAATGGCTGGACCCTGGAGCCAATACTGATTCCATGTAATTAAGCACATTTGTACATATATATTAGGCATAATATACAGTGGTGCCTCGCTTAATGAGGATAATCTGCTCCAGCGAAATCGCTGTAGAGCAAAATCCTCATTAAGCGAAATAAAAAATCCCATTGAAACACATTGAAAACCTGTTCAATGTGTTCCAATGGGCTGAATAACTCACCATCCAGCAAAGATCCTCCATAGGGGCGGCCATTTTCAGTGCCTGTAAAGCGAGGAATCCGTCCAAAAACACAGCAAGGAGCCATTTTACACAGTGGGCAGCCATTTTAGAGCCGCCAATCAGCTGTTTTGAAAACGTCTAGCAAAAAATCGGTTTCCGAAGCAGGGACCCGATGGTCGGGAAGCAAATTTTGCCCATTAAAACATCGTTTTGCGATCGCAAAACAGTCATTGTACAGCAGTTTTGTCGTGTAACAAGGTAATCATTAAGCGAGGCACCACTGTATACCATTTCTGCTTGTAGTGAGAAGGGTTAGAAGTTTTCTGAAGCCACTTTACTTTCTAATAGCAGTCTGCCTGCTGTGAGGAGTACTGTGCATTTAAAAGCTAAATAATGACCAAGAATGACATCAAGAAGAGGTGGCAAGAATACACAGAGGAATTATATCAGAAAGACTTGGATATCCCGGACAACCCAGGCAATGTAGTTGCTGACCTTGAGCCAGACATCCTGGAGAGTGAAGTCAAGTGGGTCTTAGAAAGCCTGGCTAACAACAAGGCCAGTGGAGGTGATGGCATTCCAGCTGAACTATTTAAAATCTTAAAAGATGATGCTGTTAAGGTGCTACATTCAATATGCCAGCAAGTTTGGAAAAGTCAACAGTGGCCAGAGGACTGGAAAATATCAGTCTACATCCCAATACCAAAGA